AAATATTGTGCCACCTGGAAGGTGCATTGGGAACTGACGGGTTAATGGCTTCTGTCCACAAGACGCGGAAATGCTTGCCGCGTGGCAAGAAGCGACGCGACAGCCTATAAACTTTTGATTCTCGTGGAAAAACGGCACGTTGATTGGCTGCCACGTCGCTTCTTGCTGCACGGCAAGCGTCGCTGCATCCTGTAAGCAAAAGCCACAATTCTCTTATTGGACCATCGGCTGCTTTTCAACATACGATTCCGATATACGGCGTATTGTGAAACAGGTTTAAGCCATTATGATCGTCCACAGCGGCGTGACTACGAATGCGCTCGACCTTCGTATATTCGACAGCGCGCCTACGAACGCGAAACATCATGCACGGGGACAGAGTAGCAACAACGTCGGAGCAAGCATAACGCAACAACACGGCGGCAGTGAAAGTGTAAAGGGATCGCGGTTTTGTGTTGTTATGATCTGCATTTACATAGCTGGCGACGAGAACACGTCGCGATCGGCCGTATAGAGCTATTTGTGAGCGACTGGCAGGCGACTTTTCGATCGACGAGCGTGATCCATGAAAGAGCGATCCCCTCGTACGTGGTGCGATGCGATAGCTAGCGGAAGAACGTGCCGCTGCTCGTTGTCGCCAAGGTGGTGGTGGTGGTGGGGATCGTTCCGCGGATCGTGAACATAGAGAAAAGCGAAGTGACAGGGCGAGCGTCGCTTCGCGGGTCGCCTGCAGTATGCTCAGGGTTTGCGACAAGCGGATATTATGGCTGCAGGTGAGGCCAGCACGACTAAGCCTCGTCAAGAGAAGCAGTACGACTATCTGCTCAAATTCCTGCTGGTGGGTGACAGCGACGTCGGCAAGCAGGAGATCTTGAGCGGCCTCGAGGACGGCGCCGCAGAGTCGCCGTTCTGCAGTGGCAGCGGTGAGAGTCTGATTTTAATCTGTCAGGTGATGTCTCTCTTCAAGTTTCTCTTTGATCTGTACACTGTTCTATTAATAGTTGCATAGTGTGACCATGGTTACCTATAGTAATTTCTTCCTAAAGTTTGTTTAGTTGATTATGCGGAGCTCATGATTGTTTATTTTCGTTCTAGCTTACAAGACTACCACTATCCTTCTGGATGGTAAACGAGTCAAGTTACAGTTATGGGATACATCAGGCCAAGGTAGATTCTGCACAATTATCCGATCTTACTCCAGAGGTGCACAAGGTATTCTCCTGGTATATGATATCACCAATAAATGGTCCTTCGATGGCATTGATAGGTGGCTGAAAGAAGTTGAAGAGGTATGGACCAGCAATCTAAGATTTTGTACAAATACTTGTGAATCCTCATAGTGAGAGACGTATGTTCTAATTAGCGGAAATCTTTACAGCATGCGCCCGGTGTGCCAAAAGTACTAGTTGGTAATCGTCTTCACTTAGCCTTCAGGAGGCAAGTGGGGGAACGAGACGCGGAAGCTTATGCAGCTAAAAATCGCATGGCGTTTTTCGAGGTCTCGCCCCTCTGTGACTTCAACATTCGCGAAAGCTTCTCGGAACTCTCGCGTATGGCACTGCACCGAAACGGCATGGAGAGATTGCTGCGACCCAATAAAGGTGAGACTACTAGCGAGTGAACTGCTTGCTGGGATTTTGTTCGAAAGGCACAATTGGTAACTGATATTCCTTGCTCTCACAGTACTCAGCCTGCAAGAATTGGCATGTCGCGCGATAGTAGCCCGCACAACGGTCTATAGTATCGATCAGCTACCATTGCCTACGTCAATCAAATCACATCTAAAATCGTATGCGATGACGAACACATCTCAATTGCGCTACAACGGCAATCGTTCATTGAGCTCCAGTAAAAGTTTAGGATCACATCACCGGAAGCTGCGATTTGTCGTGGGTCACCATAATAACGGGCTGTTGACGCCAGGCAGTTCACCCGGCAGCATTACAGACTACCGTACAAGTTGTGTCGGCCGCAACTCCTGCACGGTATCGTGAGAGTGAGAAAAGAAAACGTGAAGCGAAATCAGGGTAGTGGTTACTTACAAAACTAAACGACACGCAGCAGTAATCAACGTTCTTCCTCTTCCCCTCTGTTTTATCGAGAATATAAATGCGTTTACGATGTTGTTTCATAATTGATAGTAAGTACTGTTAGATTATATCGTGAGATAATATATATTATATATGCATATATATACACACACACACATATATATATATATATATATATNATATATATATATATATATATATATATATATATATGTATATATAAACACAAAATACGAGAAAAAAATTCCGATTTACCACTTGCCAGCGTTGACGGATAAAATCGGATAACTTGTTACGTTTATTGCGGAGTACGTTTCATAACGTCTATATTTTGACATTTGTGAACCTTGCGCATTTTACGATTACAATTAACGAGCTTAAGAGAGAAGGAAGCAAACTGTCGTAACCCGTGCCATCAGTTGTACGAAATAAAGAGAAAGGAGCGTAATGTTACGACATATACAAAGCAAAGAAATGCTTAATAATTATTAAATACGTCGTATTGCATATATCGTCGATCGCATAGCTCGTGTAGATCTTCCATTGCGGCAGAAAACGCGTCCAGAATACGGAGTAATGTAACACACACACACACACAAAACATACATGCATATCACCAATATACGTTTACGCAATTCGAGTATACCCATATGTTAAAATCATTAAGAATTACTTTACTTTTTCTTTTTTTTTCGGCCGTTGTTTGAAAAGCGTCTCATCTCTTCACAAACGTATCTCTGTGCGGAATCTTCTTCTAAACAAATGTAAGCATACTGGCGGGCGAATATTGAACTGAAAAGTACAAGTTCACTAAGTCTACAGTGGTTGTGGTGTAGACTAATGATAGCGTAAATGTAGAATGTTTAGAGCAGCTAACTCGGTATATTAGCGATATATCCATATACAAGGTGTCCAAACTAATCTCAGTTCCCGCAGTGCGCAGATAGAACGGGAACTGAGCAGAAAAGTCATTGCCATTTTGCAAAATTTGTAATAGTTAATGAGAAATTAATTATTATGTCTGAACTAATGAGTGCATTGGTGGGAACGGTAAGCTGAATTCTGTATTTAAAAAATGGCGTACTTCTGAAGATCTAGCAAAGATGAATTTCAATTGATAGTAAGAGGCTTGATTCTTTTCGGCGCGCAATTCTTTGTAACATGCCGCTCGCTATTCACTGCATTACTTCGCCTATAGAAATCAATTGATGCTCATCGTTTCTAGATCTTCAGAAGTAAGCTATTTTTTCTTTATGTAATGTCCGATCTACTTTTTCCCGTGTGCTCATTAGCCGATACAAAATAATTAATTTCTCACTAACTATTGTGAATTTTGCAAAATAGTATGTAACTTTTCTGCCCAATTCCACTCGTTCTACCTACACACTGCGAGAACTGAGATTAGTTTAGGATACCCTATATATATACAAGTTTCAAACCTTCAGTTCTTAGTTCCCATGATATGCAGGTAAAACGGGTAAAACTAAGCAGAAAAGTCATGTATCATTTTGCAAAATTCGCAATAGTAAGGAATTAATTATTTTGTCTGAACTAATGAGCACACAGGAAGCAGCAGGCTAGACTCAGTGTAAAAGAAAATGGCTTACTTATGAAGATCTCTTAGCAATGATGTGTATAAATTGATAGCGAAAGACGTGTTTCTTTTCGGTGTACAGTCACGTCACATGTCGTTCGCTACATTATTCTGCCTTCAGAGATCAGTTGATGCTCATCGTTGCTAGAAGATCTTCAGAAAAAAGCCATTTTTCTTTACATATATTATTACATAATCTAGCTTACCTCTTCCCGTGCGCTCATTAGTTCAGACAAAATAATTAATTTCTCATTAACTATTGCGAATTTCGCAAAGGGTACATAGTACTTTTCAGCTCAGTTTCAGGTACCCATTCTATCCATCTATACCATGGGCACCGCGAACGGTTTGGAACATTCAATATATACATATACATGCATACAATATATATGTATATATACGTATGAAGCAAGTCTAATTACACACAAACACACACACAACCCGCAAAAGTTCCGGAATGGATAATTATCTAAAACAATAATGATTTATGTAAAAACTGAAAAAAGTAATAGGGCTTAAAAGTTATCAGATGTTGACATTTATTTGATCTTGTGATGACCTTGACCAACGTTGTCAAGGTAGGTTGTCACATAAAAATCTTAAATGAAAACTTCTATTTTTCACAGCATATCTTTGTCACTGACGTTGAGGCGTTTCATTGGCGAAACACTGGTTACAAACATTTTTCGATGAGATCTTTCTGAGTTATTCTTTCAAAGCCTTCAAAGTTTCAATACTGCAAACATTAGTATTATCCAAGGTGTACGCGTGCGCGCCCACGCACACACACACACACACACAGAGCAGCAGCAGAGAGAATCTAGAGTCATTGAATACTACGGGAGTGACGACCAGTGGGGTCTTTATCTCTGCTGACACACACAAAAGAGCTATAAATCCGACGAAGCTACCTCGACATAGTACATTTTGAGTAATGCTAATGCCTGCGGTATTGAAACTTTGAAGACTCATAACCCTGAAAGTTCTCATAGCAAAAAAGATTCGTAACTAGTGTTTTAGAAACGTCTCATCGTTGACATATAAAGATATGGTATAAAAAATAGGGGTTTCCATTTAAGATTTTTATATTAACCTTAACCTGTTTCTCAACGCCATTCCAAAGTTAAATAAATATTAATATCCGAAAGCTTTTTAAGCTCTATTATTTTTATTTCAAACATTTTTTTAAATAAATCAAAATTTTTTAGATAATTAGTTGTTCTGAAACTTTGCGGGCTCTACATATAATATATATATATATATATATTCAATTGCTTCTCCGCGATATCTTTTTACCACAAACTACAACCGATGGTTGGACCGCGGAAGAACTCTGTTTAAAAAAAAAACAGTTTTATATAAAGAGCAATAAATTGACCCTTTCCACGGCACAAGTCTTTACATTGTATTACACTGATTAGATCGATGGGATATTGAACAATTTTCCTTCTATATTTCGTTGCTCTGTATGAAGTGTATACGAGATGTGATCGGTTTTTTCGTTTTCAATAGAATTTGGAAATTTTTCGGATATATATTATTTAAAAGTATTACATCTTATTTAATGCATATCTAAATATATAAGAGTAGGTTAACTTGTACAGTATAAGAGTGTAGGAGATGCGTTTGTGTATTTTATATATATATATACGTATATATGTATATATATATATATATGTGTGTGTGTGTGTGTGTGTGTGTGTGTGTGT